AACTACCTATATATGCTGTTTTTAGAAAAGAGGTGCAAATTTGTCCCCAAAATGTGGTTAGGTAAGTACTCATACAGTGACACATATACAGAAACATCAGAGGAACCTTCACTTGAAAATTCAACATCTGGTGTGTTCACATTTCAAAGCATTGGTTACAAGACAAAATAAGGAAAATGTGTAAGAAAAAACAACATACAGTATTATTTAGTTGGTTTATAAGATGATTCCTGATAAAAGGAAAACTGTATCATTATACTGAAAAAAATACATTTATAAAACTTTCTGAATTATTATGAATTATTTTATAAATTGTAACTTGCACATAAAAGTGATTTGTACTGTTGTTGAGTACTTGTGTTATTTTGAAATTATTATATGGTTTTATCTTTCACATTTTGTCTGTTATGAATCAGCAAAAAGTATGAGGAGGTTTTTTTCTTCTGATGATTTACTGAAAATTTACAAAGAAATGGACTACCCCAACATCCACAACCAAAAATACACAAACAAGATTGTCAACAGTGTTTAAATTGTGATTGGTAGGTCTATACAGCCAATATTATAACTGCATAACTTATTTCATATCCTCTATATTTATATATGGGTATTTTTTCAATGTGTAAACAATTCAGTGTCTTCACCACAAGGGAGCAGAGTAAAGCTACTGTATACTGGAGACGTGTCTTTTGTATAAATAAAGAAAAAATTCCTAGTCTCAAATATTGTAGGCCATACCACTTTCAAGTTAATGTGTAAAACAAAAGTGAACTAAAGTCAAATATGAAATAAGAGGGGGATGTCCAAAATATGAACAAATTTAAAACTTGTGACAAAAATGTGAAAGTAAAATGCTTCGACCGTTAACAAACCTTTAGGTACTTCTTTATGTAAATTTTGCACGTTTTTAGTGAAATACGTGTTCTGGAATGTGTAAGTGACTTCCTGCTCATGTACTGAGAGGTAGTAATTTGAAATGCAGGTTTTGCTGTATTATTAAATCCACTATTATACAATATATTATATCTGATCCATACTTACTAGTATGAGAAATGTTTTGACAGTTAGCACTAACCACATATGATTGAATAATCATATTCAAGCATATTGCTAAACTGTCCAAATCAACAGGCTATCATCTTTGGAGGAACAAAATAAAAAGATGCATGATATTGCATAATAAAAGTTCTTTATTTAGCCTCATCCATCATGCCATTAATATCAGATACAGAACAAGGATGAAACTATGTCACAATTGACATTTTTGTACCAAGGTTAGTTTCTGAATAATCATTTATACAAATAGAACAATACAACAGCATAATAATGAGACATTTGTGGCATCAGTGATTGCTTTATATACATGTTGGTATTACACTTCAGTTAAGTGTCCATTGGCTTGAATGTCCATTTAAGAATGTTCTTTCCAAAAGATGGTAGTGTTTATTTCATTCAATGTTTGTTCAAAATGACCAGCTTACTGGAAAAAAGGCAAAGGAAGCTCAATTTGCTGTATTCCATCAGTTGCATTAATAAATGCCTCCCAGTTGGTCAAAATGATGCTATATAATTCACCTAAAGGAAACAAAACTAAGATGACAAACATTGTACCCAAATCATTGAAGGTCTGCAGCAGCTTCTTGTAGAAAGTGTTAAGGGGAGCAGCAACAACTTCTAAGATGTTGGATTTAATGCTGTCTACAACTTCTTGTGCTTTATCAACAACCTCTCGTAGGGTCTGTCCTAGTTTCTCAAGAAACACATCAAGGCCTTTTGTTTGCTTCATCACATCTGCTATCATAGCTAGGTGACTTCTCAGGGTACTTCTCACATTTTCTTGCACCTCGGCTACAGTCATGACCTTTCCGGAGGGAAATGTCATTTCAACTGTGCTGAAGTTCTCCAAGATGGGAGAGAAATACATCTCCAGATTGTTAGCGAGTTTCTCCAGCATTTCCGCAATCATAAATCTGATTTTTGTGCAGATTTCAGGCAGTGTTGCCTCATCCATTCCAGGCAGTTTGTATTTGGTCTCTCTCAGGAAGTTGATGGCAGCATCGAGCAGGACCTGGATGGTCTTTTGGTATGTAACAACTACATTTCTGAAAAGTTTAGACAGCTCACTAAGCTCTTGGCTAGGCCAGGAAGCAGAAAAGCGAACATTTAGAACTTCATCAAGAATCTTAAACAGTCTTTTTAGTGCGTCAGTGATGCCATATTTTTCAGCAAATCCTTCAACGTGGGTTGAGATAAGTGGTAGCCTCTCCATAAAGCCTTCGGCCAAATCTCGTGTGGCTGGTATATTGTAGCTGACCAACAGTACTTTTTCATCTCCCTTTGGTACAGCTCTGATGTTCAGAATTTCAACATCATCTCCTGGTGCAGACTGCAGAAAATGCAATTCAATATAGAAACAAAAGTTGTTAGCATAGATTTAATAGCTCATTTTGGAGGAGTAATGTAAGAAATGCCACTTACAGCATAACGGCTGTAGATCCTCGCATTCATTTCAGATGGAATCCTTCCTTGAAGCCAGAAGCCAAGGTGGCCAGTTGTTGGTGTGGAAACTGAGGCACTTACGCCATCGCTTCGAGCAGCATAGCGAAAGCTTACATCGGTGAATGTTGGGCTGGTGATGTCCACATTCAGGTTATGGCTAGAAACACTAAACAAAAATGCATAAGCGAGCTTAACAATTACGATTTACACACAGAATTGGTTATAATCTAAACCACTTGTAAGACTAATACAAAACTTTTACTTATAACTCAATTAAAAGTCAGAAGTGTTTTTTTTTACCCCATACGAAGAACATTGCTGATGTCCATTGTAAAGTCAGCATGTGTAAGTACAGCATTTGCTCCTACAACAATGGCACCATTCTCCATTGTAGTACTCATGGAGCCTGTTTAGTGTGAAAGCACAAATCAATTAAGCACACTTAGAAAAAATACTGTAATTTACTCTTAGTAAACATTAGTATCACTGAATGATCTATATGTATTTGTATTTTTGTCTTTGCAGATACTTACTGTCAAGATTGTACTCCAGGAGCACAACTGGTGAAGTGGCTGTAGCCTTGAGAACAGTCTTGTAAACTGGGGCACTGCCATCTAGTTTTGCAACAACATCTGTGGTGTATACTGGAGAGACGATCTTTGAGGTGTAGTCAATTTTCTGCTTGGGTACACTAAGCTCCACCAACACCATCTCAGAGATCTTAAGGTCACCAAAGGTGCTTGGCTGAGACAAGTCCATTTTCATATCAGCCACTAATGACTTTAGAAG